TTAAATAGATACGGAAAGCAAAGAAGAATCTTTATGACATTAATGACAGCCTGTGATGACAGCCTACTGTAAAATAAAAAGTTTTGCGTATAGAAACATAGTAGGCCGCGCGGATCGAACGTCGGTACTGAATCTTAACCTCACTCTTTAGTAAACTTAAATTCAAAGTTTCACAACAATACGTGCAGTGTTCTCACTACAGTGAATTTTTAAGTGTCGCCAAGTCATTAGAAAAATGGAACTCAACCAAGAACATTTTCGCGCCATAATTTATTACAACTTTCAGAGACAATTATCGCAACGAGAATGCCTTGCTGCGTTACTGCATGTTTTCGTCAACGAAGCGCCACATCAGTCGACAATTTCCCGTTGGTATTGAGAATATAAACGTCGACGGGTGAGTCTCTGTAAAACTTTTAATGGTTTTGCGGGGCAATGGAAAGAAAAATCAGGAAAAGTGCGGTAATCGGAAGGTGGGATTCTCAAGTCCGCAGACCCAAATAATTATCTGCGCTCGTTCGTTCTGTTCTGTTCACGATAAAGACGAATTCTGAGCAAGGGCGTACAAACAAACTCCCTTGCAGACATCGTCAACTATATGGAAAACATACCTTGGAAAGAATTAACTCTCCAGATGCAGTGAGGGGTAGAAGAGTGGCGGTGACAACATAATAAAATTAGTTTGAAGTGTGAAAAGAGTTACGTACTTCAAACAGGCTTTTGGTTTATCTACACAGTTATGACTACAAGACAATGTAACCAAACTTAAGCAGTTTCTTATAAAAAAAATGACATTATGCCGTCTCGGAATACGAGGGATGACTTTTAAGTTTTGCATATAGAAACATTGGTGTCAAAAAACGCTTGACCGTTTCAATTCCGGAAACTCAAAAAATGTGTACAGCATTATTAGTGGTGATGAATCGTGGATTTACTGTTATGAACCAGAAAATAAACGACAGTCGGCTGTTTGGGTGTTCCAAGGTGACGAAAAGCCAACAAAAGTCATCCGTTCTCGAAGTGTTGAAGATGGTCGCGATATTTGTGTCAAACGCGGGTCATATTGCAACAATTCCTCTTAATGAGCAAAGAACTGTTACTGCGGATTCGTATACCACCATTTGTTTGCTAAAAGTCATCACCGAACTTCGAAATACAATAAAGTCTTTTAAAACTACCTGCCGTGTTGTTTTATTTCCATATGCGAAACTTAAGACATCCATTATATCTACACTAGGGTATCCCAAAAAAAAGGATTTTTTTTCAAACGCATACCCTGTCACTTTGCTAATCCAATTGGAAAAAAATAGAGGGTATATCTGGATATAGTCAAAATCGCGAAAGATGACGATTACGTCATCATTTTAGTATGTATTGAAGACAAACGACAGCAATTTGTGAATATGTTTAATGAAGTTTCAGATATGTTAGACAAAGACAAACAGAAATTTATTGTCTAAACAAACTGTATTGTTAATTTGCATGCATCCGATAAAGATAGACGATGTTTTTATGCTGCATGATCGATCATATTTGAAATATGAATAGTTAGGTTATGTTAAAGCAGGTTTGGTTGTTTTCGAATAATACTTTGGTCTTTGGTGTTCCTGTCTTAAGGTATTCTACTCATAACTTGTTTTTTAAAACAAAAACTAAAATTACACTGATCAACAGCCAAAAAATATCCTAAATAAAATCAACAAAATATTACTATTTTTAATGTGCTAAAACCGGAATGAAACTTATTTTTTCAATATTAGTTCAAGTTTTGCAGATACGGTAATTATATGTGTTCCTGCTGTGACAGTGTTAATATACTGTAATTCACAAGAATGCACGTGCTACATTTTTATATTCGGCAAGGAAAGATGATGTAATCGGCATGATTGTGTTACGTTATACATACGTGTACATTATATTGTTTTATATTAGCCATTTTTTCCTCAGTTGGCTGACAGCGTTCATGCAAGATGTCTCGAAAGTGTGTAAACAATCCAGATCAGTTTTGTTACGTGTGTGGTGATGTGACTTTTGCGTCTCAGAGACGGTCTATTACTCCACTAATAACAAAGGCATATCAGCTTTATTTCGGTTGTAAACTAGGTGATCAAGACAAACAGTGGGCACCCCACATCTGCTGTAATACATGTGCTTCAAGTCTGAGGAGCTGGTTAAATGGCAAAAAACGGTCTATGCGCTTTGCTGTCCCAATGGTTTGGAGAGAGCCTACAAATCATATTAATGATTGTTACTTTTGCATGGTACCTTGTGTTGGGCAAGCCACAGGTATGTCCAAGAAAAAAAATCGGTTATTAACTACCCAAACATACCATCTGCGATGAGACCTGTGCCTCACAGTGACGAAAATCCTATTCCAAAATCCTCAGAATCCTACACTTGTGAATCAGAAAACGAATCAGATCATGGCGATCGAGTGATTCGTCAGGAAGAAGATATGCCATCAACGTCAAGAGATCCTGATTTTATACCGAGCACGTCATGCCACCAACCGCACAAAATAACACAGTCAGAATTAAATGACCTTGTAAGAGATTTAGAACTTCCAAAATGTAAGGCAGAGTTACTTGGATCAAGACTGCAGCAGTGGAACTTGTTAGAAAACGATGTTTCGGTATGTGTTTTTCGTAAACGCCACAAAGACTTAGAACCATTTTTCAATATGGAGAATAACTTGGTTTTCTGCAGTAACATTAACGGCTTCCTGGCGGCTTTAAATATAAACTATAACCCAGAAGAATGGAGATTGTTTATAGACAGTTCAACATTGAGTTTAAAGGCAGTGTTATTGCATATTGGAAATAGTTTACCATCTCTTCCTGTAGGGTATGCAGTTCACATGAAAGAATCATATGACAATATGAAGTACCTATTGACATGCATAAATACGATGAGCACCAATGGCATATTTGTGGCGATTTGAAAGTTGTTGCACTTTTACTTGGGCTGCAGCTAGGCTACACAAAGTTTTGCTGTTTTTTGTGTGAATGGGACAGTCGGGCAAAGGCACTTCATTACACCAGACAAAACTGGCCTGTTCGTCAATTCCTAGAGCCAGGTCAAAAAAATTTACAGCATATGCCATTAGTAGATTCGAAAAAAATTTTATTACCACCACTGCATATCAAGTTGGGCCTAATGCAAAACTTTGTCAAGGCATTAGATAGAGATGGGTCAGCTTTTCAATACCTGCGTCAGAAATTTCCAAGACTAAGTGAGACAAAGGTTAAAGAAGGTATTTTTGTTGGGCCACAGATTCGAAATATTTTGAAAGATACACAGTTTGAAAACACTTTAACAGGTATTGAAAAAACTGCTTGGAATGATTTCCGTCTGGTGGTCACTAATTTCTTGGGAAATGGAAAAGCTGACAACTATAAAACCCTTGTCAAAAATATGCTGTCTTCGTATCAACAGATGGGCTGTAATATGTCTCTCAAGATACATTTCCTACACTCACACCTGGACTTTTTTCCTGACAATTGCGGAGCCGTAAGTGGTAAAGGTACCAGGGAAAGTGGAATCCTTAAATGCTTGCAGACTACTGTTGGACTCTTGGTAGAGATGCTCCAGAAACGATCCATAAAAGAACAGCAAAAAGACAGCGCATATAGTGATTCTTATAAGTATATGAATCTTGTTACTTTTTTTAATATATACTTAAAAATAAAGTTTTTTTTCTAAACCGCAACTATTTTTTTTATTTCATTGTCATTTTTGGATTCAGCGCCCCAAAATTAACAAAGAAGTGCACTTTTCCCACAAGATACAATTAAAAAACTAAAATTTGTTGTCCAGTGATTATTAGACAAAGACAAACAGAAATTTATTGTCTAAATAAACTGTATTGCTAATTTGCAGGCATTTGCAGATAGACGATGTTTTCATGTTGCATGATCGATCATATTTGAAATATGATTAGTTAGGTTATGTTAAAGCAGGTTAGGTTGTTTTCGAATAATACTTTGGTCTTTGGTGTTCCTGTCTTAAGGTATTCTACTCATAACTTTTTTTTCAAAACAAAAACTAAAATTATTATTAACGTATCACTCAAAACCATGAAATAAAATAAAAATAATCAGTGAAATAACCTAACTTCGCAAAATCATAATATAAATTTGTTGTCATTATGTTACTGACATCGTGATTTTATCATCGACGTACGTCCATTGATCAATTCATTACAATTTATGGTGTGACGTAATAATCATCTTTCGTGATTTTACAATATTTCACAGTGACAGCGACAGTTCCATCCTAACGTGTGACATATTTTTTCCAGTGAATATAATCGCCATCACGGACGGCATAACCCTAGGATGGACCGCACCTCTGATCCCGTACCTCATCAGCGACGAATCCCACATCAAGATGACGATCCACGAAGCGGAAATGATAGAAACCTGGCTCCTTTACGGAGCCATCACTGGTCTTCCGATCACCATGCTGCTCGTAGACAAAATCGGACGAAAAAAATCGGTGCTAGTGTCTTGTTGTGTCCTCGCTGTATGCTGGATTCTAGTGGCTGTAGCGACGAATGTTAGTCTTATATACGGTGCGAGGTTTGTGATGGGTCTAGGACTCAATATGGCGTATGTAGCTATGCCTATGTATGTCGGTGAGATATCGCATAAAAACATACGCGGGCTCTTGTCTAGTTTCACTTTTATATTCATGTTGCTAGGCGTACTGATTATTTACTGTGTAGGGCCGTATTTCTCGTACTATGTACCTCCGATAATATCGATAACTTTGCTAATCATACAGTTCGTCGGATTCATTTTTATGCCAGAATCAGCGTACTATCTCCTTTCTAAGGGCAAGGAAGATGACGCGAAAGCGTCCCTGAGCAAGTTCAGGAACAACATAGGCGTCGAAGAAGAATTTGCCGAGATGAAAGAAACCAACGAAAAAAATAAGACAGAACAGGGAAGGATACAAGATATATTTTAGTGCGCAGTTACAGAAAAGCGATTTTGATCATGCTTTTCTTGAATCTATCACAGCTTCTCAGCAGCTACGAAATTTTGCTGATGAATTTGCACAATATTCTAGAGACGGCAGAGTCCAATTACATAAGTCCTTCGATAGTAGGCATTGTGTTTTCGAGTGTCACGTTGATAGCTGCTGTGTCAGCAGCTACAGTCATCGACCGCTTTGGAAGGAAGATATTGATGATTATCTCCAGTTTTCTCACGGCTTTGTGTCTACTAGCCGTTTCCGTCTATTTTCATATGAAGTATCTCGAGTATGACTTGAGTCACATCAGCTGGTTGCCGACGGTCGCCGTAATGGCGTACGCGGTATCGTTCAAATTCGGACTAGGGATCGTTCCGATTGTCTTAACTTCCGAAATATTCGCGCCGAAAATGAAAGCGATAGGTATGACGCTAGCAGACGGGATGTACGTCGTTTCTTCCATAGGCGCGTTACAGCTGTACTTTTTTTTGAGAGACGCGTACGGGATACACGTGCCGTTTTATTTGTTCTCTTTTTGTACGTTCCTCGCAGGACCGTACGTGTGGTTGTTCGTGCCGGAGACAAAGGGAAAGACTTTAGACGAGATACAGAACGTTTTGAAGGAACCGAGGATCTTGATGATAGGGAGAAGGGGTTGAATACGGTTTTATCTCAAAGTGAAGAATGTACTTTTAACTTACGGTTTAAATTGTGACGTATATCGTTTTACTTCAGTGCCTGCTAGCGAGGAAGTGATGTAATCGCGAACAATTTCGAAAATGAGATACGTTTTTTGGAGATGAACCTATCCAAGTAGAGGCTTGTGGCAGAAACAGTTCTTACTAATACGGCTAGAGAAAAACCTGGAAAATATTCGAAAGTTTCTGAAATGGCCGCCAGGGGACGTAACTACTGTGTTGGGTCATCTATAACTTTTTTCTATTTGAAAAATCAACACGCTTTTCACGAGGTGAAATCGAATTTTTTTATTGATAAATGAAGGTCGGTTTATGCCATTTATGTATGAAAAATAACATCAGTCATGCGACCACCGCGGCTTCGTTTACAGGCCAAATTTTCAGTGACTTTTCCCAGAATAATCCGGTCAATTTCAGTCCGAATATTGTGCTTTAGGTCTTGAATGGTCCGGGGAATATTCGCATACACTTTTCCTTTCAAAAATCCCCAAAGAACATAGTCAAGAGGTGTTTCTATGAATCGGCTATATTAATCTAACAACTGATCTTCACTAACAGTATATACAAAAAAAACAATTAATAGAAGCAGGCCATGAAATACAACAAAACAAATACCTAATCAAAACATAAATCGGGCGGTGAGCTATGTATACTTTATCTGAAGTCACTTGAAATAGCATAAAAACCTTTGGTCGGCGCGTCCTTTGTAATTTCATGACGTATCATAGGCGTGCGGTCATTTATTTAGAACGATAATAATAATGTTTTTATATCACAATAAATGGATTTTACTATCTTCTTATTTTTTTGATTTGGGATAAAAAATACTTATATTGGGAGTTTAATTTATGTTGACTGAAAGTTAAGAAATGGAAAAATTACAGAATTCCAATGTTTGACATAGGCAAATATTTACATAGCAGGTAGGTATATAAAAAGGTATATAAAGACTTACATTATATGTATTTATATATCATCCTCGCCTTCGGAGCTGTCGCTAGAGTCATCTTGTAGAGGAATTACAACGGGATTTACAGGAGGCAAAACACAATATTCATTTTCTTTTTCAATAATATGCCTAGAACACTGCTTCCATAGGTCTGTGGCAGCAATATGAGTTACTGCATCTCTTATTGTGGCCAATAGCGATTCACTTAATTGAGGGGTCTGATTATGTTTTCTTACTTTTTTTTTAAAGCCGCCCAGACCAACTCAATCGGGTTAAAAATGCAGTAATAGGGAGGTAGACGTAATACTTCATGGCCATTTTGCTGAAGCAGATTGTCAACAACATACTCTTTTTCAAATTTTTGTCTTTTAATAAGATCCAATAATATGGCTTTGGTTGATTTTTGTGGTATTTCCATTCCCTTATCCTTCATAAAATCAATGTCTTGTTTTTTTGTGCCTGTATTCGGAATTTTGTTTTTCTGTCGGGAATGGTATGGCGCATTGTCCATAATAATCACTGAATTTGGGAAAATGTTTGGTATTAACTGCTGCTCGATCCACTTTTGAAAATAAGTCGGAGGTCATGTCCTCATGATAGTCGGCACATGATTCTTTGATATTTTTGGCAGATAACAGCAAGGCATTAGGTATAAATCCATTTTCACTGCCAGCATGGAGAATAATGATTCGTTTTCCACGGTTGCATGGTGCATTTAAAATGCACTTGTTGATGTCGTCAACCCAGCCGTACTGCACAACATCATGGGTAGCATACCACGTTTCATCCAGGTAAATCAGATTTCTTTTCTGCTCTCTATAAATTTTAACTTTGTGCAAAAATTCTTGGCGCAATTCAACGATTCGAGACGACTCCATAATCACCATTCTTTTATCTAATTTTTTGTATTGAAAACCACACAGTTTTACAATACAGTGCAGTGAGTCTAAGCATTTGTAATTATAAAAATCTTCAGGATAATCTTTTAATTTATCCCGTATCATTTCCAACGTGGGCACCAAATTTTCTTTATAAAATCCGTATATTATACGACGAATATCTTCCTGAAAACCCACGTCTATTTTAATTTTTGCTCTATGCGCTTTCTGTGGAAGGAATGGTTGACTACATCTCCCCGTTTTATAACCCGATAAATGGTAGACCGACTGATTTTTGTCAGGATACAAATTCTGTTTAAAATTTGATTTTGCGAGGAATCTGGATTTACGTTTTTCAGACAATCATACATATTTAGGATTACTCTTTGGGTCTGTTCCTCTAAATCTTTATGAAAGAATTCTGCCTGCACAGGTTCATCAACCATCTCCTCGTGGCTTGGAGCATGTTCCCAAGGTCTCCAAAGAGCCATATTTAGGACACACAAGAACAATCAACACAACAAGTAAACTGAGTATTCAAAAGTTAAAAACACACAAACTAATAAAATCTATGAAAAAACACGGACAGACTAAAGAAAACACGTTTATTCACCGCTACACGGCACTGGCTAAACTGTTTCAATTTTCAGTAGCCACCTGCACTTGTTCGGAGCTCTGAAATACACGCTTTCTCATTGGCTATATCCACGCATAGGCGTGCTTCACTCCACGTGGACCGGTGAAACTGCCTTTGATCTTATACGGGGGATATTTGCTGCGAAATTTGGCGATTTTTGCAGCAACAGAGCGTGTTAAATATAGATATATAAAACGCACCCGGTATTTCACAGTGTTTCAAGTGACTTCAGATAAAGTATACTTATCGGATCGCCTTCGAATGACTTGGAAAATTCTGCTGGAATTTTGATGAAATTCTTAGAAAAGGTTACTACTATCCCAAGGACGAAAAAGCTTTGGAGTTTCTGAAAATCGCTCTAGTAGCGGCGAATAAGAATGCCAAAAACGAAAAAAAAAATCAAAATCACAGAAGCATCCTGTTCATTTTTGGAAAAAAATTATGAGTAAAAAAAATTGGGGGTAGGGGGTTCGGGAGGCGGAATTCTACGGGCCTACTAGACATATTTCACACACTTGCCCTAGAAACTTGAAAAGATACGAGGGACACTACAAAAGAAATCTACTTAGCCATGAAATAAAAGACGTACGATTTTTTTTAAAAACGGCCGTTTTGTCAAACACTTCTCGATAATTTTTTTCTAGTTGATTACTTTACGTAAATTTTTCAGCGAGTTCATATAGACGTACTGTTTTTATTCTTTTGTGTAATATGATGGTTCAATATCCCCCAAATGTAGTGCTTTCGATAGCCGGCTTTGGAGTTACGATCGGTGAATTAGTTTTTTTTTCACAGTAAATCCAAAACAGTTAATTTGACAGCTGTCAAAATGTGACGTCATTCGGACATTTTTTTAAGAAAAATAAGGTAGCATGTATGACATGTCTCAATCGTCTTTTGTTTTCCAGCAACGCGCCTCAAATCTCAGTTTTCTTATCGCCGCCATTTTGGATTTTTGAAAAGAGTGTAAAATTTCCAGTCTAGTGATGTCTCACAAGTGCATAAAAGATTGGAGTAACACCGAAAAGTCATCACACGTAATGTTATGTATTAGTTTTTTCTAAGGAGGCCATGATTTATTTGTCAGAAAATAACATTAACGAGTGAGGCATAAAAAAGGTCGCTCTCTAGATTGCGTCTATTTATCTCTGTCGCACCTGTTCGATTTTTGAATCGGATCCAAAAATAAGTTTTGCGCGTTACATAAATACTTAATGTTTATTATTCAGGTGTGAAACGTTGTCAAATTGTTGTGAAGTCTTAACGTATTGATTTTTTAATGATCAAGCAGATAAGAAGGTGAAGTCTGAATACAGAAGCCATTAAGCATTTGTGTAACAAACGTTATCTCCGCAAAAAAGTCGAGAGAGATTAAATTGTGTGAGCATATCCACTACGAAAAAATGGCGTCCAGTAGATTGACTCTACACTTCCTCCTCCAATAATATTCGAACTTCGGTTCACAAGTCATAAGTACCGAGTCGACTTACTTGTCGAAATATTCAGAGAACCATCATAGACAGAGTAACACAAATTAAAGGTTAGGCAGTACATATTGATTTTCGAAATACGCTGACAGTTGAGATTTTGGTACTTGTCGCGACAGTTGATTATCAATTAATATGAGTACAATTTTTTTCTTCTTTCTGTATTGTGGTTCATACATAATGCTGAGAGACTATGCATATATTCACATTCGTATATACACAATTCTAAAATGTCTACGTTCAAAATAAAACCGTTATTTGGGCGTAGAGAATAAACTAACGCATATTTTCATAATAGGTCTTATTTCATGTTGGCAACGCCGCAGAGTGTCGCGTCAGCATTGCTAGGCAACGCGGTGATGAGCTTTGCTATCCAGCCGGCTTCTATCTCTGTCTAACATAAGTGTCTAGACACACTTCTGTCTCGTACACATAGAGTATACAGGGATCTCGACTCCTGTTATACCTACAGCAAAGGTTAAATGGGAAAGTTTTAGAGGAAATCTAGTGCTTCCGATAGCCGAAAATTGCGGAATTTGTTTTTTGCCAGTAAATCCAAAACGATTAATTTGACAGCTGTCAAAATGTGACATTATTCGTACATTTTTTTCAGACAAATACGATAACGTGTATGACATGTCTCAATCGTCTTTTGTTTTTCCGCAGCCTGCCTCAACTTTCATTTTTCTTACGGCCGCCGTATTGGATTTTTCCATTTTTGAAAAAAGCATAAAATTTACAGCCTATTCTCACAAGTGCATGAAAGATTGGTGTATCATCGAAATATCATCTGTCGATTGAAAATTATTTATCAAAATTACCTGAAATTTTGGAAGTAAGGTTAGAACGCATGCCACTATTTGACATATTATGCTTGTGCGATTCAATTATTTTTCATGGCTAGGTAGATTTCTTTTTACTGTCCATCGTATTTTAAGCAGACAAATCGATCGCATTTGGTGTGCGCCACATGGTTGTAAATATTGCATCTTTGGTATTGCATTCAATGA